AATATTTACAAATATAATAATGATTCTTAATAAATAACTCTTCAAAAAATTTTCTGATAATATTTTAAATATTTTTCTTAAATTTTATAAATTTTATAAATTTTTATGAGTTATATAACTTTTAATAATAACTAAATATAATAATATATAAAAAAGATAAAATAATAAGAAAATAATATATAAATTTATAAATTATAAATAAATTAATAATTAAAATCTAAATAAATTAATAAAAATTTAATTAACTCTATTTAGTTAAATTAAAATTATAATAAATTTTTATAAAATCAAATATATATGAATTTTATAATCTTGTAATATAATATTTCAACTAATACTCATACCAAGTTTTTATATTATTATATTAAGTTTTATATTTTGAACTATATTATTTATAATTCAGAAATTTATAATTAAATATTTTAATTAAATATTGATTAATATATAATTTAAAGATTTATTATTGATTAAGTATTATTTATTTTTATTTTTATTATTTTCTTTTTGTAATATTATATTTTCTTGACTTTTATTTAAAATTTCTGGCTTCTTTTTTTAATATTTTTAGAGAAAGTAAATTAATTTACTATATTTCTATTTATTATTACTTTTTATATTGAGATCTTGTATAGCTAATTCTAAATTATGTATTAATTATATTTGTAATATTATTCTATAAATCTATTCTATTACTATCAAAAATATCATAATATTTAGATTTTAATTTTTTTTATTGATTAATAAGTACAGTTAATTATCAGTTCATATTACAAAAAAATTGATAATTAAATAATTATAATATAATTAAGATATATTTATTTTCTATATAATTATATATAAAAAAAGTTTATTATAACTATATTATATCTTTATTATATTTATATTATAAGAATATAATATATAGAATAATATTAACTTAAATTAGTATTATATCTGAAACTATATAAAGAAAGATAAATTTATTTATTAGTAAAATTTATAATTAATAAAAAAATATATTTTAATATAAATAATTAATATATACTAAAAAAATTAAATTATATGAATAATATAAACAAATATTAATTTTTAACTATAATTACTAGTAATATATTAATTTGTTATGTAATATACAGTGGCAATCAAAAATAATGCAACGCTTAAATTTTTTACTAATTATAATTAGTAAAAAATTTAAGCGTTGCATTAATTTTGATTGCCACTGTATATAATTTATTATATATAATAATTAATAATATATATTTTTTTATTTTAAATTCTTTTTATATATTAAAAAAATTTATAAATAAATATTTTTAAAAAAGATATCCAAATAAATTATAATAAATTATCAGAATTATTATATTTTAGAATTATTTAAACTAAAAATAAATTATTATATTAAGATCTTAAGTTTCTTGTTAAATATAAGAATATTTATAATAAAATTTATAAACTAATTTATAGATTATACTGCACTACCTTACTATATTATATGCAGTTTATTATATCACAATCAACTAATTTTGTCGAGAGAAATTATATAGTTCTTTGAGTTATTTTTATCTTAGAGAATAATTCTGTAAGAGCTTTAATTAGAGCCGTGATAAGAATTCTGCGATATAAAAAGGAAAGTATCTTGATAGTTAGTGGTATGTCAATAGTTATGATTGGCGATGAAATAACGGATGAGATATCTGAGGTGGATGACAAAGATTTTTGGAATGTACATTTTTGTCGCGTATAGAGCGAATAGGAATGTTATTAGGCCGATCGATGCAGCACTTGTTATTATTACTTTGTAGAATTAGAATATTTGTTAGCATTTTAAATAATCGATTCTTACAGAGAATAAAACACTTCTCAGCAACAAGCATTGGTTATCCACTGTAAAAATTAGTGGTGTCATACTCGTAATGAAAAATAATGAGGCAATTGAAAAAATTATGAGATGTCTTGCTAGATTCCCAAGCAGTTCTTTATATATTAATAAATGTTCTTTTTCGCTGAATGGTAAGGCTGCAGAGACGGATTGTGGGTTTATTGTCCTCGTGGTCATGATAGGAATAATGATGGTGATAGTTGTATAACTGAGACATTATATAAATTAAGTTTTGCGCTTATAATACGTGAATATTTAAAAATATTTACAAGTTGTAAAGTTTTTAGAGTGAAGAGAATTGGGAGTCGATTTAAAATAAATTTCTGTAAAAAAATGATGACAAGACTTGGACGTAGTGTTCTATAAAAAAGTTTTTTTGTATAAGTCATATGTTTTTCATCAATAATCCCATATATAGGTTGACTCAATCGTACTATCGCAATTGTATTTTTCAAGTTCAGTCACCTTGATGTCTTCACACGAGCAGATCATCTCCTCTTATAAATATCCTCAAACTAAATTTAATTTTTGACCCAAAATGTAATCGCTATTGTTGTATTTCAACTGCAAAAGTTTAGAAATAGTATTTCTTTCCTATTTTTATTCAAGATATATAGCAAATAATAATGACCTCGCTGCTAGAAATCGCGAATGAAAAGAGAGAGCGAGCGGCTTATCAAAAGCTCGAACGCAGAACACAAGAGAAGCTTTAAAAACTTCAAGGTCTAATACCTGAAGAACTATTAACTTTTCCAGAGCAAATAATATATTTAGTCCGAATCAAATAAGTTTGAAAATGGATTTGATGAATAGGCTACATACTTTGTGGACAAGCCATCAATTCCACGATTTCAGAGTCATCGGTGGCTTTGGCAATCATCACCACAGGTATTTATTCTCTTGTACGATAAATGTGACAGACAATTTTATTGATAATAGACAATAATTTTACGTGATTATTGTCTTTTTCGTGGAAAAATCCTTATAAATATCGAATATACATTAAATCTCTCAAGGAATACTCGCTCTAAAACTCTTAAGCTATTATCATGTATCATAAATTTCACAGAAAAAAGAGGTTCCTTAAATATTGCGGAACTTAGATTCTCTGAAACACGCACTTAATATCATGGAGATTCAAATCGGTATAACAGACTTGATGTCTTCAGAAATGCATATGATACCATCAGGCAGACAACCACAACAATCATCACAGGCACAACCTCGATTACTCGAGACAACCAAAAAGAGTGCCTGACACAAAATCTGTCAATCAAGAAAAGAAATACAAAAAGATACAAGTAGAAGTTGATAGAATATAAGATAATTTATCTTCTAATTTGTCATTAGTTATCGATATTTTTAGTAATAATGCCATTTCTTGAACAGTATCGTGAAGCCAAAATTGAAAGAACAAAGAGAGAAAGAAGAGGCTGAAAGGAAGAAAAGGTTAAGAACGAGATAATATAATCATATTAAATAATTAATTTTTATAAGAGATTAATGATTTTCAAATCTTTGTTATTAACAGAGAGTAGGAAGAACTCGCCGTGCACTAGCAGAGCAGGTGCAAATAAAGCCATTGCGACCATTATACGAATCAAAATCATCTTTGGGACGTAAAATACCATCAACAAAAAGGGCAACTCGCCGAACATCTAATCCTTCTGTAGCAGAGATGAAGCCTGCTATAGCGTCAAGCAATTGCCAATAGAAAAGGAAAAAATAAATTTCATTCAGAGATAAGTGTTATTAATCGAATGAATTTAACCTATTTAATTCATTCGATGTAAAATTTATCGTTATAAATTTTAAAGATAAAGAAATGGATATTGATATTACAACAGAGCAACGAATTAGATCTACTACGTTCAGATTTGTTGAGACCATTGTCTAAGTCATTATCAACCAAGAAAAAACAACAAAAGTCTGTCGCTATGCTCAATATAAACAAGCTGAGAACTGATCCAAATAGAGGCTGATCGCGATCTCGATCGCCTAATTGAGAACCAATATCACGTGTCAGATCTAGGATGCCTGAAATAGTCAATGCTGATACACGTAATAAGTTGGCCAATGCTACTACTGTTGGCGAAAAGAAGAAATTAATAATTAAATCATCAACAAATAAAAAATCACGATTCACCACAAAACAAACTGAAAAGATCACAGAATCAGTGAATGCTACACAGCTGAAGAAAGTTCACGATGCCTATGATTATCTTTATTCGTCAACGTGAGATCTGGCAAGCGTACCTAAAAATTAGTTCAATACATAATATATATTAATCAATTAAGCAAGGTCCCGGGAAACCACTTTCAAATTTTTTGTATATTCAGCGATCTCACTTTTTAATTTATCCTCGGCTGATGCCAAATTTTTTTCTTTTTCTTTGAGATCTTTTTGTGCCTTCTTATAATCCTCCTGTGCCCTCTTATAATCCTTCTTGAATCTTAGATGACAATTTGCTGTTCAGAAGTGATTCTTTTTCAGAAGCTAATTTTTCTTTTTCTGTAATTAATCTTTTTGCGTTGTTGCATTCCTCAACTGCACGATGATGTTCTGCAGTGATTTTTGTTTTTGCTACTACTGCTTCATTAATTTTCCGTGTTCCTTCGTGTTTGTAATTTTTACCAATTTCCGCGAATCTTAAATATGAAATTATTATTTTTAGCGTGAATTAAAAAAAACCAAAGTTTTTTGAAAATTTCTATCTAGTTACTTTTAAATGTCATCATCTGTGTTAAGAAAAGCATCATCTCTTCTGATACTTGTTGAATTTTGGGAAGGGTATGATTCTTCTCGTCTATTGTTGAGCTTCTTGTATTGTCTCTTTTATAAGATCTCAAAGATGATATTGATTCTTTTCGATCATTTGAGGGTTTGTGCTCTTTATTCTCAGTTGGACTTTTAGATGACGTCTCATCTTTTTCTTTTCTTTCTCGTGAAGTTTTTGATGATCTTTTTGTCGAACCTTGTAATGTTGATTCTTCCTTCTCCATTTTCTTTTCGAATTTTCCTTTTTTTCTAATATCTTTTGCTGATTGACATTGACAGATCTCGATGCCACCGCGCTGGTGCATATAGATCTTCATCCGCTAATTTACATCTCTTCTTCTTTGGTGATTTGAGCATTTGATGGCCGAAACTATTTCTTGGACTGCAAAGAACAATAACAGAGAGTTGGAAGATCTTAGGTAACGAAAGAAAAATTTATTTCTTTATAATAAGATTGGAAAATTAATGATTTAATATTGTGATTATTCTTTTTCAGTCTTGTCCTCCAAGGTCTGTTAAAGATACAGGAGGCAAAATGCAAACCTCAATGGCAGAAGCTTCCCTTAAACCTTGCTGAACTCTTGGAGACTTACGAATGAGCCTTCCAACTCCCTCCTGCGAAGCAAGGAGTAAGAAAGCCGAATAATTATTCATTTATTTAAAAAGATTCAATCATATCTATATCAAATAAAAAATATAATTTTTAATTTATTTCCTCCTAATTTATTTAGTTTTATTATTGAATTGTCTAGTGGAGATAAGGTTATCGATAATCTAATAAAAGAATGCAACAAAATTAATTATGGCGATAGATATAAAAACATATTTGAATGACGAATGGTTTTGCGTCAATTTATAAAACAACCTGATTGAATGGACCATTGCATTATGATACTTTTCCATGTGGGATCATGAAGAAAATAAATTTAAACGGAGAGGAGAAAGAAATGTGTTGAAATCATTACACAGTTCAAACCGAATTATTCCAGAGTTTATGCGCGAGGCAAAATCTGAACATTACTAAAGTGAATTTACTTTTTGCTGCTAATACAATCAGATTTTTCAAAAATAGGTTCAAACTTTTCTTCAATTTAGCTATGGAATAACTACGACCGAATACTTGATAGTAATAAAATCGCGTGATTGTAGTAAATGTTTACGATTGTCGAAGAAATTACTGCGATGACTGCTTAAAATATCACAAACTAATTTATAACGATGAATTGTCTAGCAGAGGTAAAGATATCGACAATCTAATAAGAGAATGCTGCAAAATTAAAAAAAATAAAAAAGATGCTGATGGATGCGGGATACATACGACCAGCAGGTCAAATATCGATTGATTTGATCTAAAGTTGAGAAAGAGAAGTTTTAAAACGTATTGATGATCTACGCGCGTTTCTATTTGATTACCAAATTAAAAAGAAATTTTTTGTGTTGAGCAATTTTTAGTTGGTGGTAAAAGACCAGTAAAGTTTTGGGTTTCGTCCGAGCTCACGGGACTCATCAGTTGGCTTTTGCGAAAACTTCGCATTGGAGCAATGCCAATACCCAAGAAATCCTTACTTAGATAATTCTAATTAGGTATTTCTAGGGCAATTAATAATAGAAAGAAAATCAACGGAAAAAAATAAAAAAAATCCACTTGTCTCTTTCCATGACTCCCATCATCTCTATCCAAAGTTTCCGAGATACCCAACGCCTTCTCCACCAGGCTTCTTCCATAGCGTGGTGACGGGTTGTTCAAGCCGGCTTGCTTCCGAGATTCTATATCGCTCTAAAATGAAAAAAAGCAAGATACGGCAAGACAATAGCACACAGCATTTATTTATTTAATTTATTGGTTTAGTTTAGTTTAATACTTATTCCGCAGTCAATAATCCAAAGTCTCCGAAGATTCCCAACGCCATCTCCACCAGGCTCGGAACCATCGCGTGGTGGCGGGTTGTTCAAGCCGGCTTGCTTCCGTAAACCTTAAGCTAGAAAATAAACAAGTCACGAGCAGCAAGTAAGATGACAACAAGACAAGCTTTTACCCTCCGTTCTGAACCGTTCTAAAGTCAAACAAGTTAAACACAACCACCGGTCTAGGAAGAAATCACGTAAGTTAAACACACTCCGTTCTGAACCGTTCTAAAGTTAGGCAAGTTAACACAATCACCGTTCTACAAAGAAGTCACGCAGTTAACACGATATACCGTTCCAAGAAGTCGTCGTGTTGGCTTGCTTCCGTAAGCCTTAAGCTAGAAAATAAACAAGTCGCGAGCAGTAAATAACATGACAACAAGACAAGCTTTTACCCTTCGTTCTGAACCGTTCTAAAATCAAGCAAGTTAAACACAACCACCGCTCTACGAGGAAGTCACGCAGTTAACACGATATACCGTCCCAAGAAGTCAAGCACAAGAAGCAATAGCGTCGCGTCCGTTCCAAGAAGTCGTTATGTTGTTAAGCAAAGCAATAATAAAAAGTTAACAAAAAAAAAGAAAATAAAAAGCTATAAAACAAATTATTCATTTTATAGTTACGATTCTTCTATCACTATTATGATAAGATACGCCTCATGACGAGGCTATCGTGTGAAGAATACTCAGCGTAAACACAAAAATCTACCCCTATTATTTTGCTATTAATCATCAAAAATCATACTACATGTATTATTATGTAATACAGTCGCAATCATTCACAGATGGTCTGATAGGCATGTGTTACCACCATTTAGTTGTGGAGGATGTAAAAAAGAATTTTTCAATAAAAAAATTCGCAAACTGCGCTTTAAAGCGATTAACTTGGGTTGAGCTATCGACTGTATAATAAAAACTTGAATATTCAATTTTCAATTATTTGTAATAGTTTTTTTTCTCAATAATCTACCCCTAGTTACCGTTGTGTGATATGCAAAATTCACTGTTTACGAAACTAGCGCCAAGATCTTATAATATTGTGAAAAATGAATTAATTTTTTTTCACGATCTATGACATATTAACAATTACATTGGCCTAATGACAACAAACAAAACTAGATTCAATGCATTCCAACACAACAAGCAACATCCAACGAATTTGGATTTAATGCATTCCAACCACAACAAGCAGTAACCATTGTATCTGGATTTAACACTCTCCAACCATGCCAACAATCAGAGGGAGATGTTAAAATGATAGAAACAGCAGCAGTGAGAATCAAAGGCAAAGAACCAGAACTTTATTATGTCAAGCTTTCCAACCATCACAAGCAGCAACCAACGAATATGAGTGCAAATGTAGCTGACTGTTAATCACTAATGGCACAAACTGATATTAATATTTTATTTATATGTATGGTGTATTGAAGTTTTTATTTTATTAATAAATTTGTTTATTGGCTGGTCGCAGGTGACTTTTGCCAGGGGAAGTAAATATTTTTTACTCACAAGAACGTGATTTTCGTGTCAGCAGCATCAACAAATGATGGCCGATTATTTGTACAAGCTCTCGCTGAACCCGGTTTCATTTTTTATTATAATAGGACTTACGGAGGACAAAAAGAAAATAATATCTCAGTCATTATAAAGGTGCGTGAATAAGCAACGCTCGTCTTATTTGTATCTTAGGCTGTATCCCAGAGTTATTTTTACAAGCTGTTTGGCCAAAGCTTTGTACGAGCTGCTTTCCGCTACAGCATTTATAAGCTACTCATGTGACAGTTGTTTGTTTTCTCGCTGAACCAGGTCTCATTTTTTTTCGTATATTTATATAATAGGACTTACGGAGGACAAGAAGAAATAATATCACAGTCGTTATAAAGGTGAGTGAATAAGCAACACTCGTCTTATTTGTATCTTAGGCTGTATCCCGGCGTTGTCAACAAACTGTTTGCGCCGCAGCTTTGTTTTCGTTTTAATACGGGCTGCTTTACTATATAGCTTTATAAGCTACTTGCATTAAGTGTGTGTTGAATTTTGTTCCGATCCATTGGTTGACGGTTATCGTGATAGTTCCCTGATATCGTTGTGTCTGAAGCGTTCCTGTGAGTTGGTAAGCGAGAATTGAAATTTCCGGGTCTAGTGTTTGTTCCATTGTTAATTTAATTTTGGAAGATACTGTACAATATCCTAATGTTAACCGAAATATAATATTTTTTATGTCATACGCTGGTAGACTCGAATTTATTGTTGATTTCTCAATCTAATTTTTTGATTAAAGGACTTGTATAACTTATCAAAATTTGCTTTATCCGTTATTCTATTCTTCGTTCTAAGGAACTGATGTTAATGAAGATAGGCTTTAAATATCCTAGAACACAAGGTGTATTGGATTAGAACCGCTTCGATATATTTAAATTGTGCAGTTTTTGATCTCGAATTTCTGTTTTCAACTTGCTCTTTTAACTTTGAGAATATATTATAATGTAACCGAAAATACCGACTGTGGGATTCCATCAGGATAATCTCTCAATTAAACGAAACATTAATTAATGCCATAACATTTGTAATGAGTCCCAAATATCTTCTTTACCCATGCGATAATTGTCACCACCATTGTCTTTTCTATTCAATATAGATTCTTCTTTCAAGTCAAGAAGTAGATTCAATCATCCGACTTTAATTTAGAGTCGTGACCATTATGTGTTCGTTGATCTATGCCAAGTTTCACGAGATTGATATAACATTTGGTACGGTAAGCGAAAAAGTATATGAACGCTTCTATAACTGAAAATTCCTTTATCTGAACATCACGAAAATTCAATTCTTCTGTTGGTATTTCTTTTTTCCTGAATTTGCAAGGGAATTGAAATATGCTAGCATAAAATAACAGCGCCTTCCAACACTCAAATCATACATTAAATCTGTTGAAACTTATTTGCATATGTGGATTAAAGTAATGCGTTAATGTCTCCAAGTAGTTTCCAGTGTTCTTCCATCTCTGCGAAATAAATTCGCGATTTTTTTAAAATATTGCCATAAAAAATTGGGTGACATTAACAGATTATTGCCATTAACAAAAATTTTCTCTTTACGAATAAAGGTTATTATACCAATTCACAAAAGAGATTGCGCTTTGTTAATTTCATTGTACTTTTCAATTAGTTCCGATTTGCTTAAAAGTGTTTTACGTGTTTGGTCAAATATGTCACCTTATTTCCTATGATGATATTCCATTTAACCTTGCTTTTGACAGAGACCTCCGATGAGAAAAGTAAAAACAGAATACATGTAAAAAGAGTGAGCATTACGAGAATTTTTTAATAATCTCGAGGCTTCAAAATCTTGTTAATTTTTGAATAGCGTAGTTAATTGAGCTTTACGATTTTTTATTAATACATGTAAATGGTTTTCTAACGCCCAACGCCATGATAATGAAATAAGAGAATAAAATGACAGGTAGCTACTTATACATACGATCGAAAACATTAACTATTCAATCCTAGGCTTCAAATAAACCTTCGTATCAGCACAGTGGGAAATAAAATCATGTAAGTTTGTATCGGTTTATCCGCATTAACCAATTTAACCTCGTAATTACGATACAACAGAAACAGTAGCATCTTTACAAAAGCGAATCCAATATTTCTCGCAGGGCAAATATGAGTCCACCACCCTGGATAAAATGCTTTTTTGAAGATTTTTTTTCCGTCACTACTATCATTGATAAACTTTTCTGGTATAAATTTTTCGGGGCCGGTAAAGTATTTTTCGTTTCGATGCGGTGCTTAGTAATTCACCACGAATTGTGTGTCGGGTTTCCATCGAAGTGGCTTACTTTCATAATATACAGCCTCGATATATTGAATTCGTTCAAATCATCGTGATAACACGATTCAAATTATCCGAAAAAACCGAATTAATCTCAGTTCTAATTTTTGCTTCCACTTCTGGATATCTACCAACATATTCAACAATAAATACGAAGGCAGACACAGTCTGATTTTATTAAAGAATAATTAGTTAGAAATTCTGCAACAGATAAAAGATGACCATAAAAATGCATGCATCATCAGTCAAAGGTTTAAATTATTCTGTATTTGCTGCGATTAACAAATTCATTATATCCGGTTTTAATGGCGGCGTATTTTCTACTTTTTTTCGTCCCTGAACGAGTTCACACAATATTCTCCTTAATTGATCGTGGGCTTTAAGATGCTACTTATTTTGCTTCAATAAATTGTATGTCTCAACAACGAGTGTGTGGTAAGCAAGAAAAATATTGCTGCGAATGCATTTTCAAATCCTTTGACAATTTTTTCAGTCATATACGAACCTTTAGTCTCAATATCGATTTTCTTTCCAGTAGAAAGAATTTAGCCATGAAATGAACTTCTTTCCAGTTGCATTAAAAAAAATAATATCCGACGCAAACAGAACGGCCTAAGCATTCAAGTCCAAAACACAATCTGAACCCAATTCCTTCCAATAATGTTGCATTCCTTGAAAAAAAATTCTTGCATCATTTCAAATGTTCCATGAAGATACGAAGGATTCGTTCAAATACTTCGATTAAATCGCCAACTTGATTAAATGTAATCCCGGTATCAGTTTCCCATGCTTCCAAACCTTCATGATACGCATAAAGAATAATGAAATTACCTTTTGCGGATGAACATTAAGTTGTTCAATTAATTCTGCACTTCTTAGTACTATCTGACGTTGTAGACCGACCCAGATTTCGAAAATTTCACCATGGATTCTAGCTAAATCGTAAATCCCATTTAGCCAAATTACTACTGGGTTTTTAATATAGGTTACCGACAATTGGTAATGGAAATGGACCTGGAAGAGGATTATCACGGGTATAGTATTCATAATAGAAAAGTGAAATATAAAGGATTATAGTAACGAATGGAATAGTAATCCAATCACCGAGACTTAGTGATGTGAGAAAATTTACTGAAAATTTCATTTTAAAAATTCGTATCGTTTAAAGAATAATTACGCCATTTATGCATGTGAATTTCAGGAAAAAAGGATATAAATACATTTACATGCACTGGCAGAATCGCATGATATTTCAGATTTTGTTCGTTTAATCCAAAGACTTTATTCGTATTATTCGAGACATGAGGTCACGTCGAATGGAAATACATGAAATATATTATTATTGGGCCGAATGCAATAGAAACAGTGTAAACTGTATTGAAATTCTAACATAATTTACACTGTTTCTATTGCACTCGGCCCATATGTGATAACTGCATTGTTTTACAATTTATCCCTCTGAGTGAAAAATTTTCAAATCTGAAACTTTTGCTTTGCTAAATTGCATGGAGATCACTTTATAATATTTCGCTCGTAATGATGCTGTTGACAATCGCAAGAAAGCTTCGTGATCAAATCTCTATTACCAAATATTCGATAAAAAAATGTGTATTGTGACTAAAAACTGATTGCAGTTGTAATTATCTTCTTGAGAATGGTAACATTTATACATGTTTGAGTCCACTATATAAAATACGTTTATATCATTTGGGACGTCGTTCGTTTGGGATTTTGATAATTCGGGACACCGTTCTTTTGAGATTTCGTTTGTTGGGATATGAATTGTCGGAATTGTGTTTGTCGGGTTTCGTTCCAGATCCATTTTATATGTAGTAAAATCGGGTTTACTTTTTTTTAACGCATATATATTCAAAATAAAGATCACGTGAAACCCGAGAATTGCCCTGTTTTACCAATAAAGTTCTCGGTATGTTTGAACATAGATGTTCGTACAATTTAATAAAATTCGTTGACCATTTTGTAAAATGCAAACACGATCACATGAAAAACTCGGCTTTCAGGGGGTTAGTTTATTGACACAGAAAAATAAGCGTTTAAAACATAGCATGGCCACTAAAAAAATCTAAACAGGAAAGAGACAAGACATGTGATATCATCATTACCTGTAATCCTCATAAATTATAAAGTGGAATGTGATGCTCTTTGAAATCCATCAATGAAGCTGAGGAAACTTTGAAATGAGGTTAGGTTTTTAGTAATCGAAGTGATCCGTTTGTTAGAGTCAGGAGCATAATAGAAACAATGTTAAGTCTCCCGATCTGTTGAAGTCTTGTTTAATCTGCATACTGAAATACAATATAATATCCTTTAATCAAGTCCTCCTATAACATTTCACCACTACTTGTATCGGCTGAATGGCACATTAATGATGCTAGCCTTCTCTCATCAGTACAATTGAAACTCAGCAATTTATTCAAGATGGATCGATTCATGCAGCGATCATTAATATTTGTGGCACGCGCTGTAAATTCCCACTCTCTAACTCTCTATGGTACAGCCCGGTACAATAATTTAACCATTTGGACTTCGTAATAATAGAATAGTTTCTAGTATAGCTCTTTACCCAGTTTTCTGAAACATAGACTGAAGTCAAGCTATAATAAAGTACAGAACAAAGTAATTGAAACAGTATTACCTCTTGCTTGTATTATTGAAATTTGGGTCTTGTCGATTTACCAGAAGAAGTCGTTATTGTTGTGTTCCCCTTTGTAGAAGAGTCTAGCCGTAAAGAGACTCTGTTCAATCATACGTCTGGTGACTCTAAACTTTGACCTGTAAAACTTAAGAAATCTATAGTTAAAATTATCATGTAATCACCTTCCCCTTTTCCCATCATTCTTTAAATAATCCAAAACACTCACCTTTACCGCCTACAGTTACTGGCACAATACCTTAAAAATTAGTAAAGAAATCCTCAGACACCAAATAAACTTCCACAAACCTATTAAACTCATCCTTCTTTGAAATCCAATAAACCGGATTAATATCGATATATCTTAAACGAAACGAAAAGATATTTTACTGCAATCTGAATTTAATTTTAAAAACTTGATTGTTTTAGGAACATAAAAAATTTTCACTTTAGAAAATGATCATTTTTTTTACCTCGTTTATAAACTCTGGAATAATTTGTAATGATTTCAACGCAACTTCAGTTCTATACTTTGTTGGAATTTATTTCTTCATGATCACAGTTTCCAGGTTGCTTTATAGATTGTCTCAAAACCTCCTTTTGCAAGAAATTCAACGTTGGTAAAACTTTCAAAAGGAGTCCATTCGAATAACTGATCTTAATTAATTTCGTTATTAGAAGATTCAAATATATAAATTCGTTT